AAGTAGCCCTCCCACGGCCAGCAACAGCTCTCCGTCCTCACGTTCATTGTGACACTCCCGTCCCTCAATTTCCCAACTTCCCTTGTAGCTATGAGCAACTTTGTCGCCTAGTTTTGGCCAAAGGCACAGGATAAGGAATCTGCTGCAATGTTTTTACTTTCCTGATAAAAGTAACAGATACAGCTAGTTTCACGGCCATCCCTGACCTGCCTTCCTGCCTTGGGCTTTGAAGCCCAAGATAGATGCAGGCATAGCTGCACTGGGACCGTGAGGGAAGGAACCGCTTTCCCTCAGGGAGTCCCGGAGATGCCGAGCTAAAACCCTGATGTTGGGAAGCAGCCGAACAAAAATCAGCAATTGCCGACCTCCACACTTGTTATGTAGGAAGTAAAGTCCTATTGGATTTGAGCCACTTTGGCTAGGTTTCCGTATCTGACATACCTTGGTTCCACACTTAAGAAAGTCCACAGTCAGCTGTGGATCCCTGGCAGACCCAGGGCCCCTCCCATCTCAGGATCCAGTCTGACACCTCCCGAGAACGTTCCTCCATGAAAAAAATCTCATAATTTGTCAGCCAAAGTTTGTCGTGTCTTGCCACTAAGCACGGATATCGTCTCTGACAAACCTTGGGTAGACATCGCATTGGTCAGGACCCAGTCAGGAAAATGGGGCCCATGTTAGGCAGCTCGTAGGGAGGATTTAATACCGGGACACGGTCACAAAGGCACTGGGAGAGCTGCAAAGCCTGGGAGAACCCAGTCAGGAACAAAGCAAGAAGCCACAGCCAGCCCAGGGCTGAAGGCACCCAGGAAAGGGAACAGAGGCTCCCAACACAAGGCAGCACTGCCGCGGAGGCCGCCCAGAGCTAGACCTCGAGGGGAAGCCCTCTCAGGACGGAGCTGGAACCTTCAAGAAAACACAACCACCGCCTCCGAGGTCATCTGGAAGGAAGAGAAAGAGAATAAATGGCTGGAAGCGGCCTTTTCTCCCACCTCTCAGCTGCCCTCCAGTGCTTCCCATTGGCTGAACCTCCCTGAACTCAGCTGGACAGGGAGCCTAAGAAAGGTGGTTTGCAGGAGTTGGCCCCCACCTCGCCGTCCACAGCAGAGCAAGCGGGAAGAGCAGAGCATGCATTTGAAAGCAAACAGCTAAAGACCGAACACTGACTTTCACTGTTCTTAATAGCAAAGCATGCATAGTAATGACTCAATGACATTTTTACCCAGTGGCTTTTTTGGCCCCTACACCATCTCCAATGAACTTACAATAATCACAAAATGCTTATTACACAGGATGCCAGGGATGGGTGTTTCCCTACATGCAGTTTCTTAATGCAAAAGCACATGGAAGTTCCATTTTAAGCAGTTGCAGGATTGAACTGTGGAACAAAGACAAAGAAGAGCAAACGACCTAAAAGCATAACCATCATCATAATGGTCCCCTTGATTAGACTGAGATCATCAGGAAAGAATTCCCCCCTCAGCCTGTCTCCACGATTATGCTCTTCTCGGAACCCAAGAGAGACCTGAGCCCCATGCTTCCTACCTCAGTGGAGAAAAGGGGTGAGAGGACAGGCAGGGAATTCCAACATCATCGACCACAGAAAACTTAGCATTAAGAATCTATAGAATTGGAAAAAAAAAAAAGAAAAAAAATGAATTTATAGAATTGAAAATGCCTTCACAGAAACACTTAAGTTAGTGTTTGACTGAATAATGGAGGCTGTAACCTAGCCACATGGATGCATTAAACCACCCCTCACAGTTTCTTAGGGCCTAGCTTCCAAAGTGGCATAGTATTTCCTGCCTTTACGTTGGTCACAGCAAGTCACAGGGGGCCTGGCCAGGGTCAATGCAGGAGGTGACTTAGACACCACCTCTTGATGGGAATAATAGCAAAGATGTAACCATTTTCAATCCATCACACATCTATGTATGATACTTAGGACACACTTAGCACATGGTGAGTGTTCAATACATTGGTACTATTATTTCAAACCAACCATTAACTCTGAGTTGACATTGCTGAATCTGGATAATGTGAACATGGGTATTCATTAAACTATTATTTTGTATATTCTTTAAATTTTGTACAATAAAAAGTAAAAAAATAGATAAAAATAAAAGACTTTGTAGAGTTGAAACAAGAATTAAATAAAGTAAGATTATGTTGATCAGTGTCTTGAGATCCACGAAGCATTACAGAAGTGACACAGGTTGATGACAGACAGACAGGTGGATAGACAGACAGATGGATAGATAAATTCTATCCTTTCGTTTGATTTTGTGATCTTACATATAACATCTCTAAAAACTTGGCATTTAACCTCAGTTGGAATCTTTACAGTGCCAGGATGCTCAGGGCTCTGTGCCATGGCTTGCGGTGTAGCCACATAGCTGTGAGGGTGAGAAAGCCAACAGCCATTGCATTTTCTTCTATCCTGCGGTGCTGCTCTGACGCTCCCCGCTTTATCCCTCATTCAAGTAGGTGAAGCCTGCTGCCATGCCTCCCTGGCCCCAAGCTTAGAGCAGTCCTCCCCCCAAACGAAGCTGCTCTTCCTCAGACTCTCTTCTTCACTCTTAACTGACGGAACCGTTTCCACTCTTAACTCTCTGCACACTTTCTTCTTAACATCTGGCATCTGGAACTAGACTTGATTATGTCATCACTGGGCGGTCAGTACAGAGTGCAGGGGGACTCACTTCTCATCTGGACATTTCTGTAGAATCTCAGATTGTATCTACATTTTTATAATATGCAGTTCTTTTCCACAGGAGCTGAGGTAATGCTTGCAAGCACTTAAGAGTGCTTGGAAACAGACAGTATCCAGCCAGCACAGGCTGTTATCTGTGTCATTTTTATATTATTTTATGTACTATGGTGACCTATTATTATTTTCATTAACTGCTCTCAAGCAAAAGTACCATCATTCGATAGTTATGTTATTGGCTTTTAAACACAAATACATAACTGTTCATTTTAAAATTTTCGCTCGTGATTTTGGCCCCTTTTTTATAGCCTGTCATTTGAATACTCAATTTCCCCTTCGCGTTGTGGCTTCCCAGCCAGGACAGGGACAGAGCTCCTGGTACTAGGCAAGCCCTCATCTCTTGGTCACCGTGGATCCATTAATCAACCGTCTTTGGGAGCAACTGTTCAAGCAACTATCAATGGACCAAGATAAAAAGTCATTGCCCACAGTTCTCCATGTTGTACGTGAGGAAATCCCCAAGGATTTGCTGAAATGGGACCATGCCAGCTTTTGGCAGCTGAAGGAATACTATTATCAGGGAACCACTCTACCCTTGAATAATGGAGATTCTTAGCTATTTGAAAAACAGTTCTTCAAATGAAACTAAGAAAAATGTATTAACCCCACTTAAAAATGTTAAGTTCAGTGAAACTCATTTTTATTAAGCTCTGGATCCTGGTTAATTCAGTTTCCCATTCTGTTTACAGGTGATCTGTTTAATTAGCTGAACTAGAAAATTTCCAGAAGTATATCAATACTTTTCTTGAGCCAACCCATTCCTCCATTTTGAAAAATGAGGATTTTTTTTTTCCCCTGTTGTAAGTGTTCTGATACATACCTCTTTCATTTTACATTTGCCAGAATTTTGCACAGAGGAAACCAAAGAATTCAGGACCTCTGGAAGGTTTTATATAACTTCTATACATGGAGCACAGAGATGGTTTAAGACATAAGCACTCCTCAAAAGAAGACTAATATATTTGATTTATTATCATGATAATCCTAATGAGATGAAACTACTAAAGTTACCATGCACTGGAAAGCAATTTTTTAAATGACCATCCATGTTGATAGAAATTTCTAGGTTTTTTTCCGCCAGCTGCTAACAAAATTGTTTTCCTAAGTAAATGCTTGGTGACTTTGCAAAATACAGGGTTTTAGTTTGAAATTCCAGGATGGATTTCGCTAGTTAGTTGCTCTTTGGCCACACTAATAGCAAGAGGAAAGGTGAAAAAAAATTGCAGGTACAATATATGCTTTCAGTTGGTGTTGAGGGTCAGTTTCTTGTTTGTTCCCAGACTCTTCAAGACACAGACATGTGACAATTTGGCCCGAACACAAAGAGGAGAAATTATAATATCCCAATCCTTGGCTATCTTACGGTTTCTAAATGAAGCAGCAAATGGTACGGATTCCTTGTAATTATGGAAGGTTTTATTTCATCATCCTGGACTTGTTTTTATTAGACACAGGAAGAGTTGAATTGCATCATCATATAATAGCAATCTTTACCTCCTATTTCTCAGAGGAAACCACAGGATTGTGAGCCTCTTTGGGGTCCAGTCTGAGTTGTCATATTTCTAGCTCTTAAATTTGGGGAGAGGAAGACAACAGCAGAAGATATTTACATTCTCAGTCTCTCCAGGTGGGTTCACATTTCACTCAGACTAGCGTAAAAAATGGGTTATAAAAGTAATGTTTATGGATAATCTTACACTTCCATGATCCCAATTTAGCATAAGAAGAAAATACGAACAATAGTTCCCCGGTAACAAGTACTTCCTATGATGTTTCACTGAATTGTCACAAAAACCCAACGAGCTAAGTATTATTATGTCCTTATTGTGTAGGTGACGAAGATGAAGCTTGAAGAGGCTAAATTACTTGTCACAGTCACATGGCGAGTAAGTGATATAACCCGCCACCTAATGCCAAGGCCTAACTGCTTAACCTTTGTTATTATGTTGCTTCCTGAAGACCTGATCGAGCTATCAGGCATGACCAAGAACTTGACCGTGCATCTAGTTAACAGAGAACGGGGAGGTGGGGGAGTGAGGTGGCCGGGGCGGGTCTAGGAGTAGCCATTATGTGTCTTCATTAAGGCAGAATGACAGAGGTTCTCTTGAGACTTTACAAGTTCTGGTGGGACAGGGGCCCACCTCCATATCCCAGCAGGAGACGTTATTATTGGAAAACCTTGCCCACTACCTGATGCTAAGACGTAGGAGGTGCCATTGACAAAGCTTACCCCGAAGTTGAGTCTGATGTTGAAAGTCTGTCATTCAGGCCTCAGCTGGCTGGCCACTGCCGTCATTGGGTGGAGATTTACTCCTCACGCAGGAGTCCCACTTTTGTTGCAAGGAAAGTCCCGCCTGCATTCTGAAAAGAACTCATTCTGAGTTCACAGACCGCACCTGCAAATACAAAAATCCAGTTACTATCGGTCCTGGTATTTTTTTTAGTCTATTTCCCGCAGGAATCAATCAACAACACATAGACCACGTGCCAAATTCATATGTACACAGCTCTTCCAGCTGCAGCTGACTCCCACCGTACCTCAGTTTACCTCACATTTGACTCGCGTCACCGACAGAAAAACTACTTCTAACTTTAATGGGAAACGCTGTCAGACACAACCTCGTGATTTGTAGATGAGCTCATACGTTGCTCTTGAGCCCAAATCAGCACTTTCCCCATATGTCTCCTGTAAGCCAGACTTTCATTTGGCTTTGGCTGTGAAGGATAATTAAGGTATGGGAAAGGCAAGATGGTCTTGCCAACTCAGCCGCTCTTGAGAGCAAGGACTCCCCAGGCTGTTAGCACAGCGCAGAGGAGCAAGACACGTCCATCCAGCAACACCCAGGGAGGCAGCAGCTGCCGCACCACAAGCCCGTCAGGAACACCGTGCGGTACCGTGGCGACCCAGTGCATACACGCCACATGCACATGTGTGAACGTGGCTATGTACGCACATGCACACGTAAACTGAAAGAAACCTTGCATTTGCTCTTCTGTTTCCCCTTTGTCATAACATGCTGGCCATAGTATTCATTCTTCTGGCCGCTGTAACAAATTACCAAAAATGAGTGGCTCAAAACCACATAACTAGTACGCTACAGCCCTGAAGATCAGAATTCCAAAATCAAGTCTCCCTGGACTAAATCCAAGGCATCAGCAGGGCTGCTTCTCTCCGGAGGCTCTGTGGGGGAGAAGCCACTTCCTTGCCTTTTCCAGCTTGCAGGGCTCACCTGCATTCCCTGGCTCACAGCCCCTTCATCACATTAACTCCACCAACTCCTGCTTCTGCTGTCGTAGCTTCTGCTTCTCCTTCGGTCCTCTTGCCTCTCTCTTAAAAGGATATTTGCAATTACACTGGACCCACACAGATAATCCAGGAAAATCACCCAGTCTGATGATCCTTAATCACATCTGCAAAGTCCCTTTTGCCATGAAAAGTAACATATTCACAGGTTTTAGGGATCGGGATGTGGACATCTTGGTGGGGGGAGGCATTATTCAGCCTACCAGAGCCATGAACAATAAATTGACTTTTCAGTTCACTAATGGATCACACACTGCAGCGTGAAAGTCACTGGCCAAGTGTATGTCTAGGATGGAGGGGATCAGTGAGATGCCACCTGCCTGCGGGAACAAAGGGCTATGGGCATGCAGCGAGCATCCCAGGCACAGTGTGATGTACTGCACACGGTCCATCCCTTCCATCGCCAGTCATTACTCACTGTGAGTTAAGCACTGTTGGGCCATTTTAAAGATGTGAGAATAGGCTCAGAAAGGCTAGAAAAAGGCCCCAAGACCACTCAGCTAGTAAGGGGCAGAGTCCATATCCAGACCTGGGTCCCTCCACCCATGATGACCATATTCTCTCCTCCAACTCTTGTAGTGGCTTCTCTCGTGTCCTCCTGGACCCACCAGGAGCCAAGTCGTCACTCCAGTCCACCGGATCATCACACCGGGAAGCGATCCTCCCTACCAGGGCTTATTTCCTGGGAATCCTTGAGGTCTGAAGCTGCCCCCTTCTGGTTCCACAGACCTCTCTAGCAGAAGAACACTAATTCTCCCTCTCCTGACTCCAACACAGACATAGCACCTGCACATTTCAATATAAGATAGAGTCGACTAGCTTTTAATTCAGGCTTAACAACCCCAAGAAACCTGGCAAAGCCGAAATTTAAGTCAGGAATGAGGCAAAGTTGAGCAAGAATTTAATACCATAAGCTACGGAATTTTATGTCAAGGTTTATTTCTAGATTTTCAAATGGGCTTGGAGAAGGATGCTCTGGCAATCCTCTTGAAAAATTTCTAAACTGACTGTTGAAAGAAGTCAACACCAGACTTCGGGAGGAATATGGCAGACAGTGCTGCCACTCCATGGGGTATGTGGCTGAGTTCCAAACTCAAAAGATCCCCTTTCAAACTTATGAATTAGAAAATAGAAAAAAAAAATCTCGTGTCATTTTCATGCGACTCCCTGATATAAAGAGAAAGCTAAAGCAAAATGTCTGTCACACACAGACAGTCATGGTTTAAAGTGCGAGAGCGACCTCTCTGGAGCCCACTGCCACAGCGCTGCCCCCTGGCCCCTGCACCCCCACCAGATCACCATTCACCAGATTCATTAATAATATCAATATACGTCTAGGGAAAACCATCTCTCTGTCACTCAGGCAAGTTGAAGGGTTAAACAGACTGCTGCTTCATGAGATGAAAA